TGAAAATAGCAGCGTCAAAATTCATCTTACTGTATGTGAATTATTATATTGTTACTGTCATTTTAGTTACTTTTGTTTTACAATTATTCCATTGTTTTTCACAGAAACTTCCTCTTAGATACTTAGAACTCCTTCAATTAAATTTTCTGCATTCCAAGAACTCAAACTATGGAGCACATACTCCAAATGTGCTCTTCCCTTCTCATGAAACAGCCTGTTTCACTTTTGCTGACATACCATTTCTTTAGTTCGAGCACTGCCAGATGTTATTTGCCCTCACTAAACTAAGAGAATGGCGCATGGACTTACATTTATGTTAATAATAATCTTACTTTTATTCTAGAGAAATAGTTAATTAAACTGATATATATTAACATGTTTATTTTAATGTATTCTTTCTTTCGATGGTACACAGACTCAAGTATGTGATTTACAATTTGGTCTCATTTTATATGTTGAGTCTTGAATTAGTTACCTCTACCACAACTTTCTATGAGCACAATTAATCCTCCATTCTGTCCCACAGCTAGACTAATACTGTTTAAAAATTATTATTTTTTACAGAATCCAGCAAAGAACAGTGAGGTAAGCTCTCTTTATGGGGAGTCAAGATTTTCTTTCTTTTGCTCTCTGTCATTCAGTTAGCTGTCATGCATATTGAATGTCTTCTTCATTACAATTTTTATTTCCCTTCAAATGCATCCAACAACTCCAGTACCTGGATTGTTCTCTCAATTCTGTTATGATGAAATTCCTATTAAACTTCTTAGTCATTTTGGTAAGCACAGACTTACTGAATTTCCTGGCCTGGTGAACTAAGGTGCAGGTGTCTTTTAGATTTTAGAATTAGATCATAAAACTAAAACTAATTATTTGTTCTTCTACCTAAGAAATATGTTGGTTTACCAAATTAAATGGAGCACTTGTGTTCAAATTGGAATAATGTAGGGGTTTTTTTTTGGTATTTTTATTATTACAATTTAATTTCAATAGGAAATCGTCAAAGAAAGAAAGTTTCTCAGACTTGATCTGGTAAGTGTTATCCATTTTTTCTTAAAAATCATAATTTTTTGGAAAAATTATTTAATTTTACTTACAAAAATGTTTTTTCACTGGGTTGCAGTGGCTCACACCTGTAATCCCAATACTTTGGGAGGCTGAGGCAGGAGGATTGCTTGAGCCTAGGAATTTGAGACGAGCCTAAGCAACATAACCAAACTCTGTCTCTACAAAAAGAATTTGAAAAAAGAAATTAATCTGAGGTGGTGGCATGCACCTGTTGTTCCAGCTACTTGGGAAGCTGAGGTGCAAGGGTCACTTGAGCTTGGGAAGTCAAAGCTGCTGTCAGCCGTGATAGCACCTGGGAAACAGAGCAAGAAATTGCCTAAAAAGAAAGATCTTTTTTTCTTAAGTTGATCAACACTTCCCATCATTCAGTCACCCAAATGCCCAGAAAGAATATAGAAACCAGATAATACATATATTAAAGAGCCACTTCAAATTTTAATTTTTACCTAAATGTTTGCCTCTCCACTCTGCTGTCCTTTCCATGATGTATGTAGAGGTTTACAATTTCCATATTCCTTCTAATAGAATGCTCCTAACTGTAAATAATACCTATATGTGTCATATTACCTGTAATTTTTTACTTAATTGTTGAATAGAAGAACATCACATTTTAATTCAAGGACGTTATCTAAATGATTTGATAGGTAACTGTAAATAAATTTTAACATACTTTTTTTTTTTTATAGCCTACACCATTAGAATTAAGAGAGGTAAGAATGACTCGACATGTTATACCACACAATTAACAAGGGAAGCAAGTGTTAAGATCAGGAGACTCAGGACAGTGCCTAAAACAAAGCGAAAGTCAAGAATAACAAGTCTGAGTGGAAAAAATTTAAAAATATTGTCAAGTGCATATTTATATACTAGCCCTACACAAAGACAGTGTAGAGAAAGACTAACTAAAGGTTAGGAATGATATAAAAGAAATATTTGTTCATTCATGAAAAATAGATTTATTTTTAAATTTGTATCAGTGCTAATGAATTCTGCTGAGAATTCTAAAGACTACTGATTTCATTGACTCAATGTGTAGTGCGAAAGACAACTTAAGGTGAGAAATGATATAATAAGAAATATTAGTTCATTTGTGAAAAAGAAACTTATTTTTAAATTTGTATCAGCACTGTGTGGAGTACATTTTCTCATAGATTTCCACTCACTTATTGTTTCACTAATATTGTTTATCTCCTATTTTTTATCCCTAAGGAATACATCAATGGTATGAACAGGGTAAGAAACATTAATGAAATTTAAATTATTTTAAAAGTTTGTCTTTATATAAACATATTTTACAAGCTACGCTTTATTGATTTTAGCAGAGAAAAGTTCTGAGAGAAAAACAGAGTGATGAAATCAAGGTACCAAAGTTATTCTTGAAAGAGTATGGCAAAAGTATATATTCTTGTAGTAGAAAAAAAATGTTTTCATTTAGGGAAAAAATTATTTTCTATGGTTTTTACCTTTCCTTGAACTTTTCACTCACAAATTTGTAGTGAGTATTGAATTCTGCTGAGAATTCTCAAGATAATGATTTCATTGACTTAATTGTGTAGCTGTGATGAAACAAGGCCTTAGTGTGGATAAAGGAACGAAAAAAATAAATAAATAAATGCAATTATGTGTTCACAATTATCACCAAAATGAAGTGAGTGAGTGCCTTATCAATGGTATTATGTGAAGTAATACGGTATCTGGCTCAAGAATATTTACATAGTCATACTCAATTGTTTTCTTTAAACGTAACATCTTTGATTTGAATTGTCTACTAGCTTTTTTAGTAGAATTGGTATTGGGAGAGCAGGTGCTTAAACTTTATGCAATAAAAAACACTTCTTCATAGCAATGTTTCATACCTGCCTGATTGACTGTCTTGGCAGAATAGTGGGAATGAATCTGTTGAGGTGAGACCTTTTGTTTTAAAATTGTTAAATCAACATGAGGAAAAGAAGCAAAACATATTTCCCAAAATAAATTATTATCTTAAATTAAAACTATGACACATAACTCTAATTTAAAGAAAGAAAAGATGTGCTGTATCATACATTGGCCAGAATAACTAAACCAACACAAATATTTTGAATTTAAATTCTTTGGATATGTCACCGCTCTCTGTAGTGCTGTAGTCATGAAAACTGAGTACAGCATACTAGATGGAGCCAATTCATCTGCTTAGGTGCTTATACACGGTTGAATCAGTGCTCTCCTTTAGTCCAGTTGTATTTACTGCATGAGCTTCAGTGCAGTGTTCTGCTCAGTGTCCAGAAAGCCAAGTTTAAAAAGAAGGAAAACAAAAAGTTATGCTGGATAAAGGAAAATGTAAACTTGTTTTCATTGATTTCCTACAATGCAGAAGAGTCCAAAACGTTTTATTTAAACTTCAAAATGCAGATTCAGTTAGCTCAGAGATAAAGTAGGCAGGTTCCTTCATTTTTCTTATTACTTTGATATTGTCTCAGTTTTCTATTTTCTTTGGCATCTATTTTATTTGGTAATCATTGCTTTTGTATTTGACTATTTGTCATGAAAAATAAAATTAATTATCCTTTCTTTCCTCAGAATCGTGTTATGGTAGAGCCTGAGGTAAGACCTTTTCATTCTAGTGAACTCTACACTTAGGCATCATATATAGTATATGCCATATACTTCATATTAAGAAGGTTGTCTTTTGAACTTAAACAAGATAAGACATTGAATTTTAAAACGTTAAAATCCTAATTTTAAATTAATCCCTTTCTAACTTTAACTGGTTGAACTTCTAAAACAAGAGTATTATAGTCAAGAATATACAATGTTGTGCTAGATAAGGTTGAAATTGGAAGACTGAATTTAAGCCGTTTCAATAACAATTAGTAAAAAGATTGCTTATTCATTAAAATACAAAATAAAAACAAAAATTCCATGAATGTTTAAAATAAGACTCTAACACTGAATCTGACATCCTAGGGCATGAGATTACTCTTTTATTTTAGATACAAGGGTATGTATAAAATTTTTACATGAGTATGTTAGACACAGGAAGTGAGTATATTACACAATAGGTATAGGTTAGTGCAAAAGTTATTGTGCTTTTTGCCATTAAAAATAATGGCAAAACTATTAGGTTGGTGAAAAAGTAATTGCAGTTTTTAAAAAGTAATGGCAAAAACCGCAATTACTTTTGCACCAGCCTAATACTTTGTCACCCCACGCACTCTCCTTCTCCTTGTGCAGAAAGAATCTGTTGCAGCAATTACCTAGGATCAGTGAGCTACACTACCTACTCCACAGATATGTTTTCTAAAATGCTGACTTATTACATATGGTTAACCAACCCTTCCCAGAGGTAAAGTCTCCTAAATATTAAACTTAATCCTTTAATTTATGTACGTACTAATATGTATGTGCTTGGGAAGTAAAATTATATGTATATATAAACATAAAGGATTTCAAGAAACAGTAAATATTTCAAAGTAAATGTTTTAAAAGCTAATGTAATTTTAGCTCCATCTTAAGAATACTTATTGTATTTAATGTTACTATTTTATTCACTTCCAAGAATCTCCAATGGGAGATAAGAATAGATGTTTAACCCAGGGTTCTGGGTACCCAGTTCAATATGGTTCTTTATTAGAGTTTCATTTTTGTCACAAAAATCTATGTAAATTTTGCATCCTACTCAATGATAAACCCGCATTTGTTTTCTAAATTAAAAACTATTATTTTTAAGTTTTTATATTCACAGATAAGTTATTAAACATGCCACCATAATTTTTCAAGCAAAATTCACACTCCAAAAAATGCAATGTAGTAGGCCTGAATTTTTCCATACCACTTATTCAATTCCAGTGTTACCATGGTAAGCATTTCACCATAATGATATAGAACTAGCTTCCTTCAAACTCTAAAAATCCCAGGGGATAATTAACACTAGTTTTCTTTCCTTCAGCAGTCAGAATCTAGCACCAGTTCATCAAGTGAGGTAAATAATCTTGATATTAATTCAGTGGCTCAATTAATTTAAAAAATTATGAAAACTTGTACTGTGAGGATTACATATTTCATAATGTCTGATTGTACAAGGCAGTGTACATGTGGCACTATTCTAGTTTTAGTATGTGATTTGCTATCCAAAAGATGTAAGAAAGCAATTGTTGTCAGAGACAAATTTACAAAATTATTTCTGGGCAAACAACCTTACCTGGCCATCTGTGATATCCAAATTAATTTTATTTATCAATTATTTTGTCCTTCACAGATTTCGTTAAAACTCAATCTTGTCATTAAAAATTCTAACCATTACCATGCTTCCAAACCAATGAAGTAAACATTTCAAAAGCTATTTAGAATTCAACCAGTTCTAGGTTAATCAGACACTGGATTCTTCCAATTACTCTCCACCCTTTGCCCCTTGTTAATCTTGAGAAAAAAAAGTTGTCATACATAAAAAGTTGTATGGTTTTTTCTTTGACTTTGGGAGAAGACCTTCAGTCAAGTTACCAAAATAAAACCAACTCAGTTAAGTAGGTTTTCTATTAATTAAATAAAAATCATTACTTCACATCCACCCCAACATTTGGAACAATGCACTGGTTAAAGCAGTGAGAAAAGCAAAAGCAAATGTGATTATAATATATGCTTCAAATTATTAATGTTGTCTCAGTTATTCGAGAATTTACCACTAAAATCAATTTACTGCAGTTATTTAGTAATAGTTGCGTTGATTCATATTTTAACATTAAAAGTAAATTAATGTCATTAAATTAAAGCTATGCATGATTTTATTTTTTAAAGGAAATTTCTCTCAGTGAGCCTGAGGTAAGATATATTTGCCAAATTTTAAATATATTAATATTGTCCAGGATAAATTTAAATGCACTTACTTTCATACACACACCCATACACCCCTTCCAAGTGAAGACATGCTAAACCAATGGAAAAATATGTTATCTGGAAAAATCGCATTAAAGATTTATCAAAGGCAAATATACAAGAATGAGTGAGAATATTATATTAATAAATTATTTATCCTTTTCAATATCTGCTATACTTTATTGAAAGTAGTCTGATGGAATCTAAATGTTTTCTTATTCCCCTCTAGAAATAAACTGTTTTTATCCTAGGTATCTAATTCACACTTTTAGATTAACATTTGTATTTTATAGTCTCCTTTTGAATCTGCATAGTATTTAAGTGGCAGTCTATAGATTTGGTTATACTTGATTTTGACTCAAAGCTCTACCTTTTATGCATATGTGATGTTACGGCAATAATAAATATTAGATGATGTAAAGCAATTAATACAATCCATGACACATAGTCAATAAATGTTGGATATTAGAAAAATTATTTTTCCCTGTTCATCTAATATTCTAATCTAATTTGATCAAAGTTAAATCTTCATAGTCAAAATCCAAAAATACTGTTTCAATTTTCTTAATAATTCTGATATACTATAACTAAAATTGACTGGTACTAATTTATATCACACAGAATTATAATTTAAACTCAAGAAGTTGCTTTTTAAAATGTTTTTAAAAGGGAATAATAGAACAGGTTTAAATTATTTGTAGTAGAAATAGCACTCAGGTAGGCGTAATAGTTCCTTATTCTTTACCCTTGAGAAAGTGCATTGTCAGATTCTTGTTTTATTATATGAAAACGGTGGGGTTGGACTGAATGACATCCAAACAATTGAGAATATTTTTCTTTTTAAATAGAAGCAGTTTCGTATACTGAACAAATACAACCAACTTCAGCTGGTAATACTTTATTCATTAGAATACAAAACCACATTCTACTATTCATACAAAAATTAAAACATTAAATTATAAATTCAGGCCACTTCTAAATACATTTCCATTTTACTTAAGAAATTATTTATTCTAGCTTTGACCAATAACATGCAGATTGTTCATATGATTGCCTGCATATTTGCTGGCAAAGCTCATTCTCTTTATGCCTGCACTAAAGTTGTATATCTTATCCATAAATAATAACCAAGGAGAAACTGACTATATTCTACCACAAATCTTTTAATCTCCCTGATGATACGTTATATTTAAGAATTTATGGTGTGTTTATTTTCACAAATTCAGAACTGGTTGAGAATTTAATAAATATGCTTACCTGTGAAATCACAGATATGTCAAACTTTCCAGTTAAGGAAACAGTATAGACACTAGGAAAGGAATCAGGAATGCTAAACATTGGATTTGCTTCTGTCAAAACTCAAATAATCTGCTCATCACTGGTTTTGACCCTTTGGGAAATACTTTGTTCTAATATGGCAAAATTACGGATTAGCATTTTTAATCTGTCATCAATAGAGAAAGATGAAAATCAATAACGAATTTACTTTGGACCCTAACTGTTACTCTAGTTTCCATTTTCAGGTTACTTGTGTTTAAAATAGTATCTAAATACATTTAAACATATCAGTACCCCAATAGGATTCATCTTTATTGATCTAGGAAATTACTGGAATAATGTATTTTAGTACCATAGATATGATATAGCTAGTTTGTAACCTCCACAGTTATTAGAGCCAACTGGTCCTCCTGAGAGGTTTTGTAGTATTTTATATTTGTATCTTCAGCATTTAACATTGTCCCTGAACAAATGAAGGTACCCAGCAAATGTTTCTTATAAATGAGTAAATAAAATGAAAATACTGAAACAGAATGTTTTCTCTTCCCTAGCAAGCTCTCCATGCCCAGGTGAGATTATTTATTAAAACTAAAATATTTTAGTATTTCCTTCATGTGTTATGTTTTTATAATGCATGCTTCCTTTTTTAACAGAAATATATTCCAAGAGAGAGAGTGTTCTACCAACCCTGTCTGGTAAAATTTCATTTAAAATTTGCCAAATATAAAATTTAAATAATTAATTAATAGCCATGAATAGAAAACACATGGTCCTAAAGAAGTGGTAGACTATTATTTTCCTCAAAGTATGAATCTTACACATTGTTTATTTTCCCAAACTATAAAGAGGTTAGCCCTTAGCTAAAACTTTTTTCTAACGTTAGAAAATAAAAAGGATTTTGATATTTTTTGCTAATCTTCGCATAGAATACAGCCTAATCTAAATTTCATGAATGATGTTATGTATACTCCTGGTACAATGTAAGATAAATGTGTTGTACCAGAAGATGTCTAAGTAATTTAGAATGCATTTCCTTTTATGCAGGAGCAGACTTGCAGAATGAGTGAAAACAACCATGTCCAAGTGGTAATATTTGTTTAATATATTACAAAACAACAATATTTTGTTAAGTTTAAATATGTTTGCTCTTAAGTAGCCCCCTACTCTTGAAGAGAATTTTTCTTCTCAATCATTTCTCTCTCCCAATTTAAATCTCAGTTCTGACAACATCTAATCACATGACCTTGAGCACACTGTGTATTCTCTTGGACCTTTCTTTTCTCATTTGTGGAGAAAAATAGTATGTGTCTATCAATTTATTTCCTCCTCCAAAACTCCCATGTCTTGATCTTTACAGTGATATAGTGTGTCTTCACATTTAAAGATAGTAACTGGATGTTTAATTCAGTGACTCTGTTCCATTAATGACTCGATTTATACACAACATGCTAATTTTTTAAAAAATGAAATCAACTATGTAAAGAAAACCATGGAACTTCCTCCGTATGAATGCAACTATAGAAAAATCCTTTTAGTTCCTCATAGTACATCAAATTTTACCCTCAATTTTATTTTTTTCTCAAATTCTGTAATCACTTTCACTGACTAACGTCAAAAGAAAATGAAGTATTCCCTTCATTTGGGCCCTAAAGAGTTAATTGGTCTTAACTTTCCATGTAATTGTTATTATTATTATTATTATTTTGAGACAAAGTCTCACTCTGTCACCCAGCTGGAGTGCAGTGGCAGGATCCTGGTTCACTGCCTCCACGGTTCAAGCTATTCTCATGCCTCAGCCTCCTGCGTAGCTGGGATTACAGTCGGGCATTACCACACTCAGTTAATTTTTGTATTTTTAGTAGACATAGGTTTTCATCACGTTGGCCAGCTTGTCTAAAACTCCTGACATCAGGTGATCTGCCCGCCTCAGCCTCTCAAAGTGCTGGGATTATAGGCATGACCCACCACATCAATGTAATTATTTTCAAAAATGAGTGTGACAACTATATATGCATTTATATATTATCTTACAAGGTGAAAGCTTCTATTTCGTAAGACAGAAACTTACTGCTTCTGTTTGCATTTTATTATATTCTTTTTCTTTAGCTTTTAAATTCAAATAAAAAAAATAGATTGACCAGGTTACTACCTGTAAAGTAAATACCACAAATTAACGAGATACTATTTAAATTACTACTTCACTTCATTAAATTTGTAATAAAATTTGTTATAATCCATTGTTGTTATGCAAAGACAAATAAGAAAACCGTATAACATTATAATATTGTTATATTGTATTATCATATTATAATATGATTCACCACCCTTGTGTTGTTTTAGTCTTTAACATTCATGGAATTTCCCTATAAAGGCAGTACTGCTTTTGATTTATTCTTTTATTAAAGAAGGAGCCATAATGATTTCTAGTCAGTCTTTTTGACACCCTTACTGCCTATAGCAGTGAGGCAATATGGGGATTAGTTCAGTGTATATCTATTTAAACTATACTCTCAGGTTGGGTATGGTGGCTTAAGCTTGTAATCGTGCCTGATTAGATATATGATGTTATATTTAGAGAAACCTAAAGACCCCACTAAAAAAACTATTAAACTAATAAGTTCAGTAATGTTTCATGATATAAAACCAACACAGAAAATTCAGTAGCACCTCTATATGCCAACAGTGAACAATATGAAAAAGAAATCAAGAGAAAGTAATCTCATTTACAGTAGCTACAAATAAAATATCTATCAATACACTTAGTCAAAGAAATGAAAGATCTTGACAATGAAAACTATAAAATATTGATGCAAAAAATTAAAGGAGACACACAAAATATGGAATGACATTTAATGTTCATGAATCAGAAGACAGAATTTAAATCATTTAAATAATAAGTAGTAAAAATATTGCTTATTCATGAAAAGACAAGACAAAAACAAAAGGTGCATGAATGTTTAAAATAAGACTTTAGCCAGGTACGGTGGCTCACGCCTGTAATCCCAGCACTTTGGGAGGCCGAGGCGGGTGGATCACGAAGTCAGGAGATCGAGACCATCCTGTTCAACATGGTGAAACCCCGCCTGTACTAAAAATACAAAAAATTAGCTGGGCGTGGTGGCGCGTGCCTGTAGTCCCAGCTACCTAGGAGACTGAGGCAGGAGAATTCCCTGAACCCAGGAGGCGGAGGTTGCAGTGAGCCGAGATCGCGCCATTGCTCTCCAGCCTGGGTACCAAGAGCGAAACTCCGTCTCAAAAATAAAAAAAAATAAAAAAAAAAAAAGACTTTAACAAAATGCTTGCTCTAACATTCCAGGGCATGAAATTACTCTTTTACTCTTTTATTTAAGATACAAGTGTATGTGTGAAAGATTTTTGCATTAGTATATTAGACACAGGTAGTGTAGTGAGCAAACTACCTAATAGATATAGGTTGGTGCAAATGTTATTGTGCTTTTTGCCATTAAAAATAATGGCAAAACTCTTAGGTTGGTGCAAAAGTAATTGCAATTTTTAAAAAGTAATGGCAAAAAAACTGCAATTAACTTTTGCACCAACCTAATAATTTGTCAACCCATGCCCCTCTCCCTCTCCTTGGGCAGAAATAATCTGTTCCAGCAATTACCTGGGATAAATGAGCTACACTACCTACTCTACGAATCTATTTTTTAAAATGCTGACTTGTTACATATGGTTAACCCTTCCTAGAGATAAAGTCTGTTGAATATTAAAATTCATCTTTGAAAATATGTATGTACTTGGGAAGTAAAATTATATAGATATACAAATATAAACATAAAGGATTCTAAAGAAAAAATAAATATTTCAAAGTAAATATCTTAAAAGTTAATGTAATTTTAGTTTCATCTTAAGAATATGTATTATATTCAATGTTTCCATTTTGTTCACATCAAAGAAGCTCCAATTCTGGGTACCCAGTTAAATATGGTTTTTCATTAGAAGTTTCATTTTTGTCACAAAAATCAGTGTAAATTTTGCATTCTACTCAATGATAAACCTGTGTTTGTTTTCCTGAATTAAAAACTATTGTTTATAAGTTTTTATGTTCCCAGATAAGTTAATAAACCTACCGCTGTAATTTTTCCAGTAAAAATGACACTCCAAAAAATATAATGTAGTAGGCCTGAATTTTTCCATACCACTTATTTAATTCCAATGTTACCATGGTAAGCATTTCACCATGATGGTATGGAATTCATCTCCTTCAAATTTGAAAAATCCCAGGGGATGATTAACAGTAGTTTTCATTCTTTCAGCAGTCGAAATCTAGCACCAGTTTGTCAAGTGAGGTAAATAATTTTGATATTAATTCGATGGCTCAATTAATTTAAAAAATTATGTAAACTTGTACTGTGAGGATTACATATTCCATTAGGTCTGATTGTACAAGGCAGTGAACATGTGGCACTATTCTAGTTTTAGTATGTGATTTGCTATCCAAAAGAAATAAGAAAGCAATTGTCTGTCAGAGACAAATTTACAAAATTATTTCTGGGCAAACGAGCTTATCTGGCCATCAGTGATATTCAATTTTTTTTTCTTTTTTCTTTTTTTTTTTTTTTTACCAATTACTCTGTCCACAGATTTTTTTCAAACTCAATTTTATCATTAAAAATTCTAACCATTACCATGCTTCTGAACCAAGGGAGTAAACATTTCATAAACTATTTATAATGCAACCAATTTTAGGTTAATCAGACACTGGACTCTTCCAACTACTCTCCACCTTTTACCCTGTGTTAATCTGGAGAAAAAAAGTTGGCATACATAAAATGTGGTGTAGTTTTTCTTTTGGCTTTAGGAGAAGACCTTCAGTCAAGTTACCAAAATAAAACCAGCTTGGTTAAGTGGGTTTTCTGTTAATTGAATAAAAATCATTACTTTGCATCCACCCACAACATTCGGAACAATGCACTAGTTAAAGCACTGAGAAAAGGAAAAGCAATGTGATTATAATATATGCTTCAAATTATTCAACTTGTCTCAGTTATTTGGGAATTTACCACTAATATCAATTTCCTGTAGTTATGTAGTAATAGTTTGGTTGAACCATATTTTAACTTTAAATGTAAATTAATGTCATAAAATTAAAACTATCCATATTTTTATCTTTTAAAGGAAACTTCTCTCAGTAAGCCTGAGGTAAGATATATTTACTAAGTTTAAAATATATTAATATTTTCTGGGATAAACTAAAACACACTTAAATGCGCGCACACACACACACACACACATACACACACACATCCTCCAAGTGAAGACATGCTAAACCAAGGAAAAATATGTTATCTAGTAAAATTGCATTAAAGATTTATCAAAGGCAAATATACCACAGAAAGAGTGAAAATGTTGTATTGAAATTCTCTATCTTTTTCAATATCTAATAAATTTTATTGTAAGTAGTGTGATGGAATCTAGATGTTTTCTTACTTCCCTCTAAAAATAAAACTAACAACTTTTTAAAATCCTAGATGTCTAATTCACACTTTCAGTTGAATATTTGTATTTTATAGTTTCTTTTTGAGTCTGCATAGTATTTAAGTGACAGTCTATAGATTTGGTTATACTTGAATTCGACTCAAAGCTCTACCTTTTACACATATGTGATGTTAAGCAGTTCACTTTCCCAGTATAAATCTATAAATAAACCCTAAAATGGTAATAATAATAAATATTAGATGATATAAAGCAATTAATACAATCCATCACACATCATAAACTGTCAAAAATTTTGGATAATATTAGAAAAATTATTTTTCCTCTTCATCTAATATTCTAATCTAATTTGACCAAGTTAAATTTTCACAGTAAGAAAACAGAAAAAACAGTTTTAATTTTCTTAATAATTCTGATATACTGTAACTAAAATTGGCTGATACCAATTTATATCAGACAGAATTGTGTTTTAAATTCAAGAAGTTGCTTTTTAAATGTTTTTAAAAGGGAATAATGGAAAAGGTCCAAAATATTTGTGGTAGAAATAGCACTCAGGTAGGCTAATAGTTTCTCATTTTCTAACCTTGGGAAAGAGCATGGTAAGATTCTTGTTTTATTATATGGAAATGATGGGGTTGGACTGAATGACATCCAAGCAATTGAGAATATTTTTCTTTTTAAATGAGAACAGTTTTGTAGACTGAACAAATACAACCAACTTCAGTTGGTAGTATTTTATTCATTATAATACAAAGTCATTGAATTAAAATTAATGACTATAAAATTAAAACATTAAATTTTAAATTGAGGCCACTTCTAAGTATATTTCTATTTTTCTTAAGAAATTATTTATTCTAGCTTTGACCAATAATGGGCAAATTACTTATATGGTTGCCTGCGTATTTGCTGGCAAAGCTCATTCTTTTTATGCCTGCACTAAAGTTGTATATCTTATCCATAAATACTAACCAGGGAGAAAGTGACTATATTCTACAGCAAATCTTTTAACCTCCCCAATGATACATTATATTTAAGAATTTGCAGTGTGTTTATTTTTGCAAATTCAGACCTGGTTGAGAATTTTATAAATATGCTTACCTGTGAAATCACAGATATGTCAAATTAACTTTCCATTTAAGAAAACAGTATAGACTCTGGGAAAGGAATCAGGAATGCTAAACATCAGATTTGCTTCTCTCAAAACTCACATAATCTGCTTATCACTGGTTTTGACCCTTTTGAGTATCATAAAAGTCTTTCTTTGGGAGGACAATAAAAACCTTTCAGTTACTACAAATAAATTTGACTTAATGAAGATTTTGTGAAATGCTTTGTTCCAATTTAGCAAAACTACATGTGAGCATTTTTAATCTGTTATCAGTAGAGGAAGACGAAAATCAACAATGAGTTCAATACGGACCCTGCTGTTCTAGTTTTCATGTTCAGGTTACTTGTGTTAAAGATAATATCTAAATAGATTTAAACATATCAGTACCCCAATAGAATTCATCTTTATTGATCTAGGAAATTACTGGAATAATATATTTTAGTACCATAGATATAATATAGCTAGTCTGTAACCTCCACAATTATTAGAACCAACTGGTCCTCCTGAGAGGTTTTGTAGTATTTTATATTTGTATCTTCAGTATTTAACATTGTCCCTGAACAAATGTTTCTTATAAATGAGTAAATAAAATGAAAATACTAAAACAGAATGTTTTCTCTTCCCTAGCAAGCTCTCCATGCCCAGGTGAGATTATTTATTAAAACTAAAATATTTTAGTATTTCCTTCATGTGTTATGTTTTTATAATGCATGCTTCTTTTTTTAACAGAAATATATTCCAAGAGAGAGAGTGTTCTACCAACCCTATCTGGTAGTATTTTATTTAAAATTTGCCAAATATAAAATTTAAATAATTAATTAATAGCCATAAATAGAAAATACATAGTTCTAGAGAAGTGGTAGGTTATTATTTTCCTCAGAGTAGGAACCTTACACATTGTTTATTTTCCCAAACTATAGAGAGGTTAGCCCTTAGCTAAAACTTTTTTCTAACGTTAGAAAATAAAAAGGATTTTGATATTTTTTGCTAATCTTCACATAGAATACAGTCTATTCTAAATTTCATGGATGATGTTATGTATATTCCTAAGTAATTTATAATGCATTTCCTTTTATGCAGGAGCAAACTCACAGAATGAGTGAAAACAACCATGTCCAAGTGGTAATATTTGTTTAATATATTACAAAACAATAATATTTTGTTAAGTTTAAATATGTTTGCTCTTAAGTAGCCCCCTACTCTTGAAGAGAATTTTTCCTCTCAGTCATATCTCTCTCCGAACTTAAATCTCAGTTCTGACAACACCTAATCACATGACCTTGAGCACACTGTGTATTCTCTTGGACCTTTCTTTTCTCATTTGTGGAGAAAAATAGTATGTGTCTATCAATTTATTTCGTCCTCCAGAACTCCCATGTCTTCATCTTTACAGTGATATAGTGTGTTTTCACATTTAAAGATAGTAACTGGATGTTTAATTCTTCAGAGTCACTGAATTAAATCATGACTCATATAATGACTCAATTTATACACAACATGCTAATTTTTTAAAAAATGAAATCAACTATGTAAAGAAAGCCATGGAACTTCTTCCATATGACTGCAACTATAGAAAAAAACCTTTTAGTTCCTCATAGTGTATCAAATTTTGCCCTCAATTTTATTTTTTTCTCAAATTCTGTAATCACTTTCACTGGCAAAGTGAAAAGAAAATAAAGGCAAGTATTCCCTTCATTTGGTTCCTAAAGAGTTAACTGGTCTTAACTTTCCTTGTAATTATTATTATTATTATTATTTTGAGGCAGAGTCTCGCTCTGTCACCCAGCTGGAGTGCAGTGGCAGGATCCTGGCTCAGTGCCTCCCGGGTTCAAGTGATTCTCATGCCTCAGCCTCCCGAGTAGCTGGGATTATAGGCAGGCATCACCACGCACAGTTAAATTTTTATTTTTAGTAAAGACAAGTTTTCATCACGTTGGCCAGACCTGTCTAAAACTCCTGACCTCAGGTGGTCTGCCCGCCTCAGCCTCCCAAAGTGCTGGGATTATAGGCATGACCTACCACGTCAATGTAATTATTTTTAAAAGGAGTGTGACAACCATATATACATTTTTCATGTTAATGAAGGTTTGGAGTAGCAATAATTTGATCTAACATTGTGTTCAGTGGTTGTAAATTACTAAACTATCGCCTTAGTCTGTTTTGTGCTGCTATAGCACAAGACAGATTGAGTAATTTATAATGAACAGAAATTTATTTGGTTAACAGTTGTGGAGGCTGTAAGTCCAAGATTGAAGGGCCACAGTGTCTGTCAAGTGAGGGCCTTCTTGCTGCATTATTCCATAGTGGAAGAGAAAAAATACAGAAGAGAGGGTCAAACTCAGTCATAACAAGCTCACCCTTGCAACGATGCGGCCACTCCTGTGATAATAGCATTAAGTGAGAGCAGAGCCCTTGTGAACTAATCACCTCTTCAAGGTCCCACCTCCTGTTGCATTGGCTGTTAAGTTTCCAACACATGATCTTTGGGAAACACATCAAATCATAGCAACTTATTCCTCTCTCTCTCTCTCTCTCTCTCTCTCTCTCTCTCT